CATGATGTGACATTCAAGATCAGAGATCTCAGATCAAAAGAGGTCAATTTTAAGTCATATGGCACAGCTGTAAATACAAGCTATTTAAATGGTATGCAGGCAATGTTTAGATTTGAGATTCCTTATAATGCTGCTGCTCTCATGCCTGACTTATCTGATGACCTGCAATAGCTGTCCTGTCTCTTGAAATTATTTTCCATATATTTTTAAGTGTAGCTATGTGATAAATATGTTGCAACAAACAAACTTCAGTTTCCTGAAACTACTTTTATTGATGTTGCTTGCTCACTAGCTTTCCATAAATTATTACCTAATGGATGCCTGTTTGGAGTGTATCACAGGAACAATGTCTTGGAATAATGAGGCAAAAATAGGCATATGCTTTAGGAATAAGAAAATAAGGCCGTATTTATATGTAATGTAATCTCTTACATCACTCTTCTGAGTGAAATCTCTTTTCCTTCAAAATATTATAGAAAGAAAAAACATGATTAAAACCCTGAAATGTGTCCTATTAAAATGCATCCTTGGTGACATGAGATATGAAGAAACACACACTTCCAGAATTTTGAAGGAAAGCAACACACACAAAAATATGCATTTGAAGCTGTCAATAGGTGCATACAGCAGTATCAACTACTAGTGATAGCTTTCACTAGTGTTTAGTGTTTAATGTGTGATAGTGTTTCAGTGCCACAAAACTCATTAGGCACATTTAACAGTGATCACTTACTTTTTGGAACACATTGCTAATATAAATAAACTCTCTTCCCTATAGGTTGCTGTTGTAATGGACAAGTTTCTTATCTAGTGCTTAAATCCAGGCAAGCAGGTGCAGCATAGCAAACTCCATTAGGGCAAAGTTAAGCTGAAAGCCAAAATGCACACTATTTTTAGCACTATTAAACTGGTCTCTGTTAGAGTGAAAGGCAACGGAAAACCAAACATACCCACAGTTCACACAAAGTGCTGTACAGATATGGTAAGTAAAAATGTAAACATTGCCCCGAGTCACAGAAAAGACATGCCACCATTATTGTGTCTAATGAAATTTATCTGTAATACTGTTTGTGAGCAGGATGTTCTTACCATCAGGTTATGGCCAGCTCTGTGCTGGACACAGCTAAGAGGAACGCAAAAAATGCTCAAACCTACCACTTCAGAATGCCTACAATTGAACCAAGGTTATGTTTTCTACTGCTGTTATAAGTGGATCTACATGGTTTTATTTATTACTCTATTCAGGATTACTGCCTATTACACACATCATCTTCCTTTGTTTCAAAGACCATTCTGGATTTGCAGAGCCTGTCTGTAGTCTAAAATAATTGTGCAGTTTGGTTAAAGAAAATTTCAAGATTATTTGAGATATCTTACCCTACACAATTTGACAGTATGTATTAGAATTAACTGGTACTTCACTTGCCCACACATACGCTGTGGACAAAGAAGTGAATTCTTGTGGAAATCAACCACTATGCATCTATAAAGCTCTATGCCCCAAAATAACTGGACATGAACTCATGCTCCATACACCTGTAGGTGTTAGAACCAGCATGGTGTTCAAACTTCTCAACTATCTTTAACTACTATAGTAGCGACAAATATAGATGTGATTTCTAAATTTCCTACCCATTGGTTGAGTCCAAGAGTTTAATCTTTGTCTTATATTCTGAACTTTAAGTAAAATTATCTGTTCAGAGGCATCATGAATGCAATAACATTTCTGCGGGCATGCCTACACCACTGAAATGAAAATGGACCATTGTCTCCTCTGTTTATGTATAGGAGAAACTCACATAAAGCTTTCAGATCTTATCACTGGTAACATACAAATTGATCTGTTGCTCATTTCAGAAGCAGGATTGCACTATGATGATCTCTTCCTGAGCAACAACATTCCTATGTTTCTTGTGTAGTTGGTATTCTACAAACACACAAAGCAGACTGTGTTGCATGGAATTTCCCATGCTACACTGAAAACAGAACTGGCTCCTTAGGGAACACACTGCCTCAAGCCTGATGCTGTACTTAAGCAGCGTGGGCCATGACCTCAGTTGGGTGTGCTTCCCAGCCCACCCCAAGGCTCACTAGACATTTACATCCACAGCTTTTTCTGTGTGTTACATTTTTCCTTGCATGGTGTTTGTCTGCTAAAATCATTATAGTTCTAAAAGGCAAACACCAAGCTAGCCAGTGAATGAAAAAGCTGACAATTAAAAAAAGCACCTTGATATGCTTGAAGGTCCTATTCCTGAATTCAGAGTCATGTGAGAGAGTTTGACTCTTACGCAGGGTTTCACTGAACAGAGATATTATGGAAGCACAGGTCAACTGGACAGATGTCTGAATTGTTTTTTGTGTAGCTGTTCCTACAGGCATCCACTTCACTAGGGCCTGATTTGCCAGTCTTGAGTAAAGCACTTAACAGTGAAACGGCTATCATTTGTAGCATTGAGTATTTTCTTTTGATTGACACTTGATTAAAATAGGGCCTAAAATGCCACTTACAAGTATCAAAACTTTACCTAAAAAATTAAATTTTTTTCAATTATGAAAATTCTAAAATTAAACAAAACAATTACTGTAAGCTGGAACTACCAGAACACTAAAGAGAAGCTAGAAACATTTAAAACAGCAGGAACATTTAAAACAGCAGCTGAACCTTAGAAATATATTCATTTAAGTGGGACCGTGTAGCTGCAAACAAAAGCAAAACTTACACTTTCTTTCTGTGTGCCCTGCCCATCGGAAGATACTCGCTTCCTTGGCAACTGGGCAAAATACTTTCAAGTATGGAGTGGAAATTTCTGGGCATGGTTTTAGTTATATTTACTTCACGTTGACAGTCTGGCACAAGACTACGCTATTGAGAGAGTTATAAGATGCAAGAACTTACACTGCGAGTCAGATAATCCCTCTGAAAGACCCACTGAATGTAATTCTATACCAGAAATAACATTTTAAAACAACAAAAGAGAAGTGGAACAATTCAACGCTAAGCTGTGTCTCCTGTTCTTAACCTCCTCTGTTGTCCCAGTAAATTACCACATGTACATACGCTGACCAGCAAGTACCAGGAGGACACAGTGCTGCCAAAAGGGGCATGGTTTTATAAGACAAAAGAATGGAAGAGCATCTAAGGAAGACTAGTTTTGCACACCTACTGTGTAGATGAGAATGAATTATTTTCAACTAGATTTAGTTGTGATTCTATGAATGTATTTCTAAGGAGAAGTAATAACATAATACCTTGTGTACCGAATGTTTGCACAGAATGTCTTGCTACGATCAAATTACAGACTGCGGAAAAACTGTTTATAATGGAAATGCTGACTATGAGCATAGAACTATGCCTATTACAAAAGCTGGTATACCACATATCCTCCCAGAGTATAACAGTTCAGTTATGTATCTCTGAAAATAAGATGTGCAATAATAGAAGCTGTGCAGTCGCTGGTATGTTTGTTTGTAAAGAAAGATCAAACTATGGCAACAAAAATTGTGTTCTGTGCACCAAAAAAAGCAGGCTGCTGCTGATCCAAATCTCTAGTCAAAGATCCCTACATCTTGAAACACTGTAGTGTGGATGTGCACAACATGATAGATACCCACTTCTGCAGGTTTTGCTACCAGCAACTCACAGTCCCTTGGAGCTGAATCAATATTACTACCATGTAGTATAAAAAAAACAATAAATAGCCTATAAATCACAAGGAGGAAGTGCTGCTTTGCAGACAGACTAAAGAGGGCATGGTGTTAGGAGGCATAGCTGGGACAGCAAAGAGGGTTATTAAATTTCCACTAGTACCTTCAAAAATGCAGGAAAATCAATGTATATTTAAATAAATAAACTAAGAAATAAATAAGAGAAAAATAACGTATTTCAATTATTACATTCTTGCAGGCTTTTCTGAGTTAGAGTTTTTTGCACATTCTCGAAGCCTACTGACTGATCTAAAGAGTAATAATGAAGGTGACTTATTTTGCATAGGTGAGAACTGGGTGTGAATCCGGGGGAAAAAACCGTTTTTCTCAACTGAGAGACAAGTGGAATACAAAACTGGACCAGCCAGTTTTGAATGGAGCACTGATTAATGGTTTCTGAGGGATTGTCTATCTCTGTTTATCTATAGTCACCTCTTCATTATTTTTGGCATCTTTTTTTGGGCTTAAAAACTTTAAAACACATAGTCCCTTTTTCTGTGTAAGCACAGCTTTCACTTCATGAATGACAATTTGGTGAGAACATAATCAAAAATTATTTTATCACCCAGTTACACCATGCTGTGTATATTTTTGTTCAGTCTTTTGTTCATGTAGATTCTGTCAAAAATTGGAGCCCACACTGAGAACTTAACAAGTAGTTACAATTGCAAGAAAACTCTGTGCAGTGACTGACTATTCTTTTCAATAGCATTAAGTCTTGTAAAGCCTAATACAACTTACTGAAAGACTTAACTGTTTCTGTTGAACTGGAGGTACTATAAATCGGAGAAAAGTCTAAACTGAACATGTTGCAAAGACACTCTTGCCAAAGATTGTCTCTTGCCCTGGAAATGCATTCACTTTTGGAGTAGAACCCAAAATACATTTAGGAAAAAAAATAATGCGTAAGGAATGCACAAGGAAAATAATGCATAAGGAATGGGACCGATGTGACTGGTTTTTTTTAGAAAGAGGACTTGATAAAGGACACCTTTTCCCAACAACACGTGAAAGACAGAGAAAGAAAGGAGATCTCTGAGGCGTCATGCAGAAACCTGCAGAGATACCTGTGCCGGGGGAGTGTAGACGCCTCCCAGCAGGGCCTGCCTGTTGGCAGGGGACTGTCACGCACACGGGAGGGGCTGGACGGAAAACCGAGAGGCGCGGCACCGCCGGCAGCAGCAGCACCCCGAGCTGCCGCCGCCCCGCCGCGGGCTCCGGCAGCGCCGGGCGGGAAGGTGAGCGTGGGGGAGCCAAGCCCGGAGCCAAGCCCGGAGCGGCGGCGCTCTCACCTTCCCCGTGCAGTGTCCAGGGCAGATGCGCGTAGTCCCACTGGTAGCCGCAGGCGCTGTCCTCGAAGGTGCACGACCCGGGCGCAAGCAAGGCCGCCCCGGCGAGCCGTAGAGCTGCAAGAACAAAAACGAGCCACGGTCACGGCGCGCTCGGCCCGGGGGCTGCCGGCTGGGGGCCGCCGCTGCCCCCGGAGCAGCGCCGGGCGCGTCCCGGGCGGGCGGGAGGCGGCCCCGCCGCCCTTACCGTGCGCGGCGAGCGGGCAGAGCCGCAGCATCGGCCCCGCCGCCCTTACCGTGCGCGGCGAGCAGGCAGAGCCGCAGCATCTTCCACTGGCGGCGGCGGGGAGAGCGCGGCCGGCCCGGGGCGGGGAGAGCGCGGCCGGCCCGGGGCGCGGTGTGCGGCGGGGCTGAGCGCGGCCGCTCGGCTCCCAGCGCGGCCGGGCAGGCAGGGGAGGAACGGGGAGGGACCGCGGACACCGCGGGTGGGCGGCCCGTCCCACTCCTCTCGCCAAGCGGGGTCGGCCCCGACGGTGGCTCAAGGCCGGAGTGGCTGAGGCTGGAGTGCCCTCCAGAATGGGGGTTACCTTCTCTCCGGACAACCTGCGGAAGAGTACCACCCCCCACGAAGGGAAAATGTGCTTTCTTACGTTTTAGTGTTTGTTTTTTTTTCCCCCGCGTTTCTCCCTGTACACGGTGCATCGCTCCAGTCATTGCTGCGTACTGTCACTGGGTACTACACGAAGAGTTTGGCTCTGTCTGACGTACTCGCTGTCAGGTGTTTGTGCACAACTGCAACATGCCCACTCAAACACATCTGCAGAGAACAAAGGGGCTCTCACCCCACCAGAGCTCCCATGTTATCACGCCTTGCCCTTCCAACCTTCCCTTCCACTAAACCTGACCTCCAGAGGACCATGGCAGGGTACCCTGGCACTTTAAGCTAAGAATGGTCCAGCAGCTGCTGAGATACTCCGAGTGATGCAGCTCATACGCTTACAGAATAACTCAGGACTAGACCATGAGAGATGTCCAGTTCAAACCCAGCCCAAGCAGAGGCAGCTTTGAGCTTAGACCAGGCTGCACAGTTGAGGTTTGATAACCTCCCAGGCTGGTGACACCTGCCTGGGCCCTGACTCCAGTCCTGGGCTGTTTTTGTGGGGAAAGTGTTTCTTCCTTGTGAATGCTCTGAATTTCCACTGTTTCAGCTGTGCTACTCCCTCTCACTCTCCAGCCATGTACCACTCTGATGAGTCCTGATGCTGCATTTCCTCTATCCCTCTCCTGTCCAGGACTGCTGTTGGATGTTGCCAAAGTTATCGCTCTTCCCCGCTGAACCCTCTCCTCACAGGACAGGGTCTCCAGGCCAACTGCCTCAGTGCCTTCCCTCACCTCACATCTAAAAGAGATTAAGATCACTTAATTTGTTGCACTGCAAGTACAGAAATTATTTGTCTAATCAGGACTGCAGACATAGCATACTTTTCAGATCTGACTGGTGGCACACAGTTGTATTTAAAAGACAGACTTCCGTTTTATTACCATATTTTAATATCAAAGCATTCAGTGAATATGATGACCAGAGACCCCTTTTATTACTCTCCAGGACCATAAAAGGACTTCCAGCAGGAAGTGGATATGTGTAAATTATTTTTTAGGGAAGTGATATTTATGTATTAGATAAGAAAAACCTTTTAATGGACATGTATGATTGTGATGGATAAACTCCCTATTGTAAAGTCTCACCTCACACACAGAATGAGGAGAGTTTGATCCTCTATGTGTCCTGTGTGGATAAAGAATGCCTGCTTTCTAAGCCTTCAAATTGAGTTACCCCAAGTGATTCTGGCCAATTTCAGTATATCCATGAATAATTTCAGTTCTAAGGCAGTTCATTAGCTAAATTTCTTCAGCAGCTTTGACACATGCCCATTTTTACACAGGATTGAGTATAGGGCATTATCTAGAATACACCATTTCTGAGAAGCTGATGGCACAAATAGCCAACTGATACTAATGACTCACCAATATAAGCACTCACTAAGAACGGCTGAAGTGGCTAATGGCCTCAGTTTTTTCCTTGCTGATATCCAAGATATTCCACCTCTTAGCAGAGATGGCTTAGCTGCACATGTCAGCCGCCAAAGTTTACAGCACTATGTGTAAACTGGTTTTTAAACTGGCACCTCCAGCTTCCTGCAACCTCTCAGGAGCCAAGGAAGTAGCAGGTGAGTGTGCATGAGATGACATTAAAGTTTCTGAAACTGATGTAAAACCTCGGTGGCCCACTACACACTTTTCCAAGAACTGTATAGAAGACATTTTCCTTAATAACGAATTTGTAAAAGCATTTTGCCCCTTATTGACTCATGTCTCCTGAAATCTCACCCCATCCTTTCCTGCTGATTTAATTAGGTTGTTCCCTTCGTATTGGGGAGTAACATAATCAAGGCCATGCTAACCAGGCAATCTCACAAGGGAAAACAAATGTCGGAAGTGTCATTAATGGTTATATAGGAGCATTTGAGAGGTACAAGAGGCTTCCACAGATGGCCAAGTTTAATTCCACAAGCACTTACCCAGTTTGTTCCTAAGCAAGCAGGAAATGGGTAAACCACATTTGTCCTTACTGCCTTTTGAGGCCGGGGATGCAGAGATCTGGGGTAAGGCAGAAGGCCAGTTACACCTCCTGTCAATTCCTATTACCAAGTGAGCTTGCTTTAAGTACAAAATTAATCCACAGGTTACCATTTGACTTTTATTAATTTGACTCAATTTTTGCAGATTAACTGAAACACCAGAGAAGGAGACGAGCAGCAAGTAAAGTCTGAGCTTTTCAAAATTCTCTGCACAGCTACAGATACTGTCCTCTCCAGTGTTTGCTTTGAAATCCTGGAAAATACACTTAATAAAAAAACCTCTTTGCATGCCCAGGCACATCCAAACTTTCCACTTCTTCTCAGACATTGGACACCAGTACTGTTCACAGTTGGAAAAGGATATCAGGACTGGAAAAGGAAATGAGGTCTTGTAGTACCTTTCAGTGTTCAAATTTCAGTCTTCTCATATACATGTGTTAATATTATTATTTTACTCTTTTTATGCTTTAATGGAACTATAATCATGCATGACACTTTACAAGTCTACTTAGGCAGAAAGCCTGGCATCTTTTTCTTTTTATATTTATCTTCAATAAGAAAAATACAAATAATTTGAGCCAAGATGATCTAATCTAACTTTGCTTTGGTATACCCCTACTTCTTATGTCCTTTGCCCATTGTATCTGTGATTTACAATTCCAGATGATTCTGATCTTGCCTATGAGCCAGTTTCTGCAGCTGCTGCCTTCTCTATTCTCTGGAAGTATGTCATGCTGTAGGCATACTTCCACTGGAAAGGTAGAAGGTACTAGCAGCCAGTGGCTCTGCTGGACATTTCTACTCCCATATGGTTTACCATTTGAGAGTGGGGTAAGAGAAGAAATGTACCCATGGCATGAGCAGGAAAAACTCCTGGCAGCATTATTTAATTTTTCTGGTTTCTATCACATTGTACTGTTAGCAGCAAACTGCAACTGCCAGCTGAAGCATGGGGAAATCTCTTCTGCTATTCTGGCATGAGCCACATGTGTTTACCAGCAAAGCAGGTACACCTGTGTGCTTTTGGGGATGGCTCAGAGAGGAAAGTAATTCACACTCTGAGGAACTGATTCTGTATTATGCTTCGGGATGTCCCTCTCTGCACAGCCCAATGTGGGTTATTCCTAACAAAATGCACACATTTGTCATGTTGTTTCAACTTACTGTGTCTTGATTCTGTGTATTTACTCTCCTGTGCACTGAAGTTGCATCAACTAATCGATGTGCTGAAAACTACATATGGAGACCCATGGAGCTCTCACTGCTTCTGGTTTGCTGAGAGTGGGTGACTGATCTTGAGGAGCACCTGACTTTGTGAATGGAAACTGCAATCAGTGCTGGGTCACCTGCTGAGTGTAGGGAATCCTGCTGTGACTGAGCTTGGCAGGATTGTCTGCTGCTGAGGGTTGTGATACAGAGCCACACCAATTTACAGGAGGGGGTTGATCTGTTTTAGATGTCAAGTCAGCATTTGCTGTATATATGTATATATATGAGATATATGTATATCTATAAGTAGTGCTGTACTTATAGATAGGAATTTAGTTAGTAGCTGAACTGAGCAATCCTTTAAAAATATTCAATCATTCTGTAATATGCAGGGTTCTCATAGTAGGGAAAAGACCAGGAGGCCAATCTCAGGAAAGATAAAGCTGGCATGAAGGCACTGCTTCATAAAGCTGACTCTTTGTGAGGGGCAACAAAAAGACTACAGGAAAACCCACTTACATTAAAAGTACTCTCTTACATTAAAATAACCAGGCTACTTTTTATAATTTCTGTATTATTTTACTAAGATTATACTTTTCAGACCTCGCTTAATTCCATGTAAAGGGAAGCCAGCTGGAACAAAGTGGGCTCAAGCTGTACATCATTGTGGTTTCATGAAGAAGAGTAAATGGAACAGTCAAAAATGACACCTGCATGTGAAATTAGTAAATTAGTTAATTCCCAGTGATCTGTCACTTCGTTAAATCTCTGCTAGAACCAGGAAACTGCAACTTTCTCTTTCAAAAAAACAAAACAAAAAACCAAAACAAAAAAAAAACAAAACAAAAAAAAACCACCAAAGGAAAAAAAGGAGACGCCAGTCAGGCACCAGAGAAATGACTAGCCACAAAATGCTCAGTTTAATAGCTAATGTATGGTTTACACTGCTCTCACATTGGAGTTCTATGATTTTTTTTTTTTAAACCAGACATCTAGCAGATTATTGGAAATAGTTGATTCATCACCCCTGGAGGAATTTAAAAAACATGTAGGTGTACCTCTTAGGGACATGGTTTATTCAAGGACCCGGCAGTGTTACGTTAGTGGCTGCATGATCTTAAAGGTGTTTTCCAACCCCAATAATTCTATTATTCTGTGATTCTGTGACTGACTTTACAGTATCTAAACATTGGCTACAAGGCTGAGAATGGGCCTGCTGGTCAGGTAATGGCCCCTGAAAGCCCCTGGATATTGCTTTTAGCTGCAAATTCTGTCCTTTTCTGTCAATGGAGGGTGCGTAAGTCACTGATTTTGCAGTTGGTATAAGTGATCAGGAATCTCACAAGAATACCCAAGCTTAATCCATCCTCAGCAATGCAGTTCTACAAGAGTACCTCCTACAGCTTCACACTATAGGCCGGTCAGCCTTGTGGAAGAGAAAAGGAAGCCAGGAGGTAGGAGCTGGAGTAGCACCATCCTTGGCAAAGCAGGAGAGCCAAAGTGAGATGGCCAATCTCATAGTCATGAGAACTACAGAGGAAAAGTAGTAGTAAAAAGTAGCCTTTCCACATGCATCCATGTAAGGGAGTTTCTTGGAATAAGTCCAAGCTACAGCACCTTGCTTCACTGGCAAGAGACAGGAACCAGCACAAAAGAAGACCTCACAAGACAAAGCTGAGTGCTAGAATTCCCCAGATACTCTGCTAGAGATGAGCAGTTAGGAAATGAACCCAGGAAGAACAAGGAAGAAATATTACCATATTTTGGGTTTTGGGGATCAATATTCAAGGAGATTTTGGTCCCTGGACAAACCCACAGAACTACTAAAGATTCAGGCATTTTAGTACACTTAGCTACTCAGGTGAGAACAAAAATAAATGCTTCAATTAAAGCTGTCCTGTGAGTGTCCAGTTACTGAGAGTTAGCTATAGCTAGATGAAATAATAGCCTTTGCTGTTTGACATGAAAAGATGAGTTTAAATACGTACAGATACCTGGTGTGACCCTTACGGTGTCCTGTGCAGGGTTAGGACCTGGACTGGTCACTTCCAACTCACCATATTCTGTGATTCTGTGAAATACAGAGTAGCGACTACTTGCAAAAATAGTGCCTAAATATTAATTCCAACACGAGTATATTTTTCATTTTAAAAGGGATTCACAGTACTCTGAAACAAGATATACTAGAGGAGGCAGTTACACAATGATTACCAGTGTAACTCTAGCTTGTAAATTGTGAAGTTTTCCCATGAAGACAAAATTCCAGGAAAATCCAGATGGTCACAGGATAGAGTAGAAGAACAGCATATATTTTGAATGGGAGAGGTTTCTCATTTACTTTGCATAAAGCTAGAGTTAGGATTTGGTTTAGGGCCATGGAAATCAAAGACCTCAGAGTTGAAATGCCAGCAACATCTTGCTCAGCCCAAAGACCTGGGGTGGCAGCTGGGCTCAGGAAAAGCTGTAACCCAGTAACCCAGTGCACATCAGGAATCATTAATAGGTCTTATTCCCTGCAAAGATACCTAGTTTAAAGTCAGGGTCTGGGCTAGTTATCTGAGGACCACATTGGAGCAGTGTCCAATTGGCCGAAGTAAACTGTTCTTTCAAATGTAGACTACCTGTATTCTTCTGCAAATTTTGCTCTGAAAATAGAAAAGTATTTTTTTGCTCAAAAAGCATTCAAGTACCATTATCCTCTTTGGATATTGTAGAATGAATCAGGTAAGAGAAGAAATTGTAAACAAAAATTGGTAATCCAGAAATAACAAAGCACCATGGAGAGTAATTTGGACCAGATGATACAGTATAGATGTAAAAGTAAATATAATTAGGCCTATAACATCAAATATGAGCAAATTAACTGATTTAAAACAATCACTGATTGTTTTAAAATAAGCAACTCTTTCTTACTGTCATGAACAAAAGCCACTGACAACTGCAGAAAACCTTTTATATCGATTGTGTCCCTTTTGTTTATTGGTTCTTGCCTATAATAATATACTTTTAAGATTACTTTAAGATATCAGCCGCAGAAGAAGCAGGGGAATGCCCAGCTGTTCAAAAGCTATTTCATGATGCAGAGGACTGCACAATGAAAAAAAAATAGGGTTGCCATGGTAAATTATTTTTTGTGTACAAATAAATGCCCTGCAGACAGT